TTTTTTGAAAAAGCGCCGACGACGGCGACCTATGTGTGTCCACCCCTGGACAAAGGGTTTTCCACCGCCACTTCCTTCACAGTTTTTCCACCAACTTTCACATGCAGGGGGTGCAAGCAGCCCATCCAGTCTTGCACCAACGAAGACACTGGATGCGTGCTGGTGATATCGATTTGGGACGCCAAATCGACGTACCTGCAGAGTTCTTCACACGCTGTTACTCCACTCTTCCACGGTTTGATTCCATGGTCCTTGCACGATAGACCCCAAAACCTTTTCCCACCGCAGACTTGCAGCTGACTTGCAACCACACTGACTGTCAGAGTGCAAACATTGTTCAACCATACAGTTCTTGCCGACCTTTTCGCCATGCCGTTCCCTCACCTTCCTTCTCAACGTGGGAATTGAGTTCACTGAATACAAGTGTCAGAGTGTGTGCGAGTGTTGTTTTCACAATTTGCGCAACACTCCAGCAAACACTCAGCATGATGCCAGACTGACAGGGATGGTCACAAGTTGGCCCAGCAGTCCACCAACGTCAGATCGAAAATGGCCAAGGCGTGCTTCACCAAACTCACCTGGACTGTTTTTGATTGTCTCACCAATGTCACCACAAGGGATTGAGTGACATCTCGACATCATCTCAAGCCTGTCAATCAGTGTTCTTGCGCATCTTGTGACGCTTATTTGTGGAGCTTATACTAGGCACCTGGGCAAGCCCGGCATACCTCTACAGTCGATAAAACCGCCGAGAACCAAAAGCAATTACCGGCAAGTGCTGCCAAAGTCACAAAAGCCGGTGCATCAGACAAGGCTTCACCATAAGCCACTTTGTGCTTCTTGCTCCTGGCATGTTGGCAACCCTTCCCCACAAAGCCCCCACAGCCTTAAAGCTATCCAGCCTGTGAAAGCCCAAAGCATCACCCTCCTTTTTGTAGCTCGCTGCCTCAAACAGCTCTTCTGTCACGAGCCAATCTCTCAAAACGCAACATCTCCAATCCCCTTGCCTGAATCTCTCTTTCAACTTCGTGCATCAGCCGCCAGTCATCTTTGGCGCAGCAAATGTGCTTCAAATGCATGCAACTGCCAGCTGGCGGTTGCTGCAAGGGCCTTGACATGCTAGTGCTGCTAGTGGGTTATGGTCCATGCCAAGAATGGCAAGGGAACACATGGGTGCAGAATGCACGCAAGCAGTCAACAGGACCAACCTCGGCAGTGTATTGGCCAGCCCAGAGGGAAAGCGCTGCTGGGATCTTGCTAAAGCACCCACATACTCAAGGGCACCTGGGACACCAGGTTGCATGTAGCTGCTGAACACTCTAAGATTACAACTATAACTATAATTGGCATTTTTCCCACTGATAATTGGTCGTGGCATGAACGGATCGCTCACCAGTGGCGCTATTTCCATCACGGCATCGATCCGCCTGATTGTGGCAAATGAGGCCCGGCGTGGATCCGCATGCCAGCTCGCTGCATGGCTCGCCAAAAGGCTTGGTTCATGTGACGGGTGGTTTTCTCAAGGAGCATTGTTCATGTCCTTGGCCAATGTGAAACACAATGCTTCGCCCGCTTCGCCCTAGCGCTGGGAGGAACTCTTTGTTCGCAACTGGTATGTGGGTGATCATGATTTCCGTTCTGAAGGGCAACCGCGGTTCAATAGATCACCTGCCAACCGTCACGCAGCAAAACACGAAAGTGGGTGCCTTAATTTCACATCCATGCTTTGAGCCAATAGTGAGACAAACCAAGAACACTCAGAGTCAATTCCCATGCGTCATATGTTCTCTCAACTTCACTTCTCAGGTGCTCCTCATATACAGTATTCCAAGCATATGTTACACGTGTTCACACCGTTAAAACAATCAGCCGCTCCTCTAAGCCTCTAAGAACCTTCAGGTCTCACACCGGTTTCGCACCTCACAGGACTCCCCATGGCCCAGAGCCCAGCGGGGTCGGTCAGCAGTGCCCTTAGCGCCGCTGAACTCCCACAAGTGATGGCAAATCGAAGGAAAATCATCAAGTAAACGGCAGTTTACCCATGGATGCCGTTGATTCTTGACGTGCCAAATCAAAGCAACAATCAAGTGGGGAACCTTGCAAGCGCTTCTCTCACGCACTACGGGAACAGGCTCCGAGCACAAGCGATGTGGTCCAAACCGACGAGCGGCCGAAGGTCACAGGGCCTAGGAGGAGTCAGTGAGTGAAACAAGTGATCCTGCTTGACAATTCGGTGGAGACCCGAATTGTTTTGCGCCGGTGCAGGAAGGAAAGGAGTTGGCCAAACTTGCGATCGCTCTGTCTGAATTAGTGCGCAGGGCGCCTGCCAAATGATAAGTTCCGAAGTTTTCAGGATCCTCCATGGCATGGGACTGTGTATGACACGTAAGCATTGTCAGGTAAAGGGTACAAACTGTGCCACGCTAAAAGCTTGACCAAGCAAGCACCATTAAGTTACCTCCCCAACCCTTGCTGAGATCCACACCCCCGTACATGCAACAAGGCGTGTGCAGGAATTAGCTTCAACCTCGGGGACGCAGTGCTCAGCACAAGAACTGAGAGACCCCTCCAGTCAGGCACTACTGCCAAGTTGTCATCGTAACCTGTCTGAGGTTGTGGCTCATCTTCGGTATCTGGTCCAATGTAGTTGATGGCGAAACCTGACAAAAGGACACTGAAAAATATGTGTTCTAGTTCTATCCAAATTGATTTATATATATAATGCCCTTTTGGTAGAGGTCTAGTCTACGGCAACTTGGGCACCTGTATTATTGCAGCCAGCGTGACCTGGCACACAGAACTGGCCGGCCCGCCCAAGCACCCCTGCGCACCTGCTTGACCCTCTAGCTCCGTGTAGCCAATTAAGATCGACTCAGAACACGGGCACAGCTTGGAAGAGGAAGGTGGCTACAAACGGTTGATCCATTGTCCGAGTCAGTTGGGGCAAAGCCTGGCTGAGGCTGACAGAGAAAAACCGTATATGCACAGCACTCATGTGCACCATTAAGGCTCGCCCATCACCACCCCCCCAAGAAAAATACATAACCTGCTCTGTCTCGGTGACCTGTCTGAACAACATCGAATCATTGCCCTCAACGTGGTAAATCAGCAATTGCTTGCACAGGAGCCACTGCGCTCAAGCGCCAACTGTGTTTCACGCGCCATCCCCCAAAAAAGAATCTCCTGTGCTTGGCGGCCGCGCGTGATATCCAGCCTCAGGACAATGAACCAGTGCTAAGTATGCAGCCTACTAGCTATGCAACAACAGCAACAGCAGCAACAACAACAAGAACCACTGTAAACCCCGAGTTCTTTCAAGGCCATCAGCAAGTGCAGCTCTTATCCTGTCTCACCTGAAGGTTCAGCAGAACCACAAACCAGTTCCAAAGCACAATTGGCACTATTGAGCCAAGGTCTTCTGGGCCTGTGACTGGTAGGGTGACAGTGGTGGAAGGGATGCTGGCACGTGCAAGCCTTGGGCGAAAAAGGAGACAAAAGCGAGCGCATGCAACTGAGACACATGGCATGGCGGAGGCATGCATGCCCTGCATCGTATGCTGGACAAATTCCGAAGGCACCAGCAGATCCCACCCCCAGCTTGCCACCACAACTGTGTCTCCTTCCTCTGCTTCCGCCGTGTTTTTGCGTACCACGTTTTTGGACGTTTCATCCCAGGGCCACTAATGCCTCTTAGGTGCATCAAGGCATCTTCCTTGATGAGGATTGCACCATCTATCCTGCACGCTTCACGCACTCTGCCAGAAAGAAAAATTTGGTGAGCTTAGTCCAGCAGCGTATATAGGTTGTAGCATCCCTGCTTTAAAGCTCAGAAGGCCAAGTTTCAAATACCTCAACAATGTGATCAAAAAAATCACGCCAGCATAGACCCCAGATAGCAAAACAGATTTACCAGCAGCACCTTCCAGCAGCACCAGCACCGAGGATCCAAAGCACCCAAAAACATCTGGCAGCGGTGCTGTGCAGCTGCACCCTACAGCGGCTCCCTGCAGTCACCCTCCATAATTTGCCCACTGCCCACGGCCAGCAACATCGGGCAGCAGCACCCTGCACGGCACGAGCATCCAAAGCGCACACGAACGTGCACATCTGGCAGCGGCACCCTGCACGGCACCAGCACTCAGGCTACAAAGCACACACAGGCACTTCCAACACTTGAAGTAAGAACCCCAATAGTTCTCGCTATCTGGTGAAGGTCATGGAAGCTGGTGCCAAACCGGTGCTCGGCAGCGCCCCTTCCGCCTGAGCTCGGCCGCTCCCAAACAAGTGATCTGGAAGCGGTAGTGACCTCAAAGCACCCACAGCAGAGGCATGCGGCAGCTTGGGGCTGAATGACTGGGAGCTGCACCGGGCTTGCGAATGAAAAGGAAGCCTGCAACGTGTGTGGATGGGTGAGAATCTGAGTTCAAATTCAAAAGTCCCAAGTCGTCTAAAGCAAAGCTCCGATCTGATAATGGTGTCGGTTTCTGCTTCATCACTGCAAGGTGGGGCGGTGGTAGGGTCACTGATTGCAAAAAGGACTTGTTGGAGCCGATGGCTGGGCCCAACACGCAGGAGAAGACTGTGCTATAGTACGGCTATAGGTCATGGGAATAGAATTGTGGCTTGGAGAGGGCTCCCGCCTTTCCACTTGATGGCCAAAGCCGAGTAGACATCCTCGGTGGCTAGAAAACATCGAGTACTCTCTTCTGTGCAGAGTCCAGATGCAAAAACTTTCTCTCCAGCGGACAGATTGCGGTTCCAATTGCATGATATTGCGCGCTGTCTGTTCTGGTGCCAAGCTAGCCACACCCCAGTGGTGCACGGTATGGTCGATGACCGCTACGGTCCTGGCATGTGATGCGGAATCACAGTCAGTGTACGCAAGTGCCTCCTATAATGTGTGTTTTCGTTCAACCGCTTCCAACATTACGCCTGAGACCTTGGAGTATTTCCGAGTATTGCTGTGCCTTGATGCCAAGGTTCCCCCAAGTCATGGTGCTGCTTGGCATCTGAATCAAACCCCCCAAAGCATCCTGAAGTTACTAAATAGGACATGACGCTTACCTTCCTGTACTAACAACAGGAACCACGGCCCTTCTGAAATTATGATTCCATGTGATTGCTCATGACATCATGCGTCCAACATTTCGCCAGTGCCACGAGGTCTTGGTCTTGAAATCGAAGAGCTCTCCCACCAGTCCTTGCCTCTGCGGAGTGCTTCCAGAATCTCGTGTTGTGGTGCTTTGGCGCTTTGGGTAGTTGATTTCGTATGTTTGCACATGGGTGGTTGAGAGCTGGATGCCTATGTCGCGGCCTTTTTCGCTGCAGGCGTTCAGCTCTCTGATGTCTTGTTAGTCCTCTAGGCATCGTCCTTCTCAGCCTTTGCATCAGTCTTGGTTTTCTTCTGCACGTTTCCGTAGAACTTGGCCTTCTCCTCGCTGGTTTGGAATCGCCCATGTCCAAACTTGGAAGAAGTGTCAATGAATTTCAAAGTCACCTTTTCCAAGGCCCTTCGCGACACCTGAGGCAAGAGTGACTTTCGAAGAGTGATGAGGCGCTTGCGTGGACCCATGACTGTGCCCTTGAGCATCACCCAGTCCTCGTTGACCTCACCATAGTGCGAGAAGCCACCCATGGGAGTAATGGCCTTTTCTGTGAGATCGTTCTCCGTTTTGGCATTCACCGGATCGTCCTTTAAAGCCTGACCCACGCGGTAGATCTTCTTATTGATCTCGGTACGGTGGTGATAGCCACGTTGACCTGATCGCGGCACCTGGAAGGACACTCGGGCAGGGTGCCATGAGCCGATGCAGGCCACTTTTCGCAACCCACGGTGTGTCTTCCTCGTCAAGCGAGTCACTCCCCAACGGGTCACAACACCGTTGAAACCCTTGCCCTTTGTGGCACCAATGACATCAATCATCTCATCCTGGCTGAAGCAATCCGCGATCTTCACCTCCTGCTCGAACAGGCCCATCACAAAGTCCACTTTGGCTTCCGTGGTTCCACCATTCACCTGAATCTCCTTGATGTGAGCCTTTTTCTGCCCGATCTTCACTTTTCCAACCTGAGTATGGCAAATGGCACGGATCACCTGACAATACTTCTTGGCTCTCTCCACTTCAGCCTGCATAGGACTGCCCTCCTTGGCTTCACTCCAGCGCTTCTGGTATTTGGTGAATGCCTTCTGCTTAGAAGAGTGCCAGGACTTGTAGAAGCGACGCTTGCACTCCTCCGACAAATGCCCAGCCCAAACCGAAGTCAAAGCACGGAGACCTCTGGGAGTCTCAACGTAGCCGACGAAGCCTACGACGATCATCGGAGGGCTCTCCAAGATGGTCACAGGCTCCACGATCTCCTTCTTGTTCAATTTGGAGCCAGGCCTATCCACCTCCCGGACAATGTGAGTCATACCTGCCTTGTAGCTCATGAAGGCGGTCAAATGCGGGCTCTTAGACTGATCATCCTTTGGGAAGCTCTTGATCTTGCCATGGTGGTGCTTGGTCCGCTTCCTCGGGAGGAAACCCAAGGAACCATGGCGTGGACGCTCAAACTTGCGATGCGACATTGCTGAATGCACCTATGCAAACTCCGCTGGGCCAATGCACAACGGTTGTCCATTTGAGGCAATGTGGAACAATATTATCAGCAAAAAGCCCTGAGTGTGCATACATGTGCCCACGCCCCGCACATTCAATGGCCATACGTTCAAGCTTTGGGAAGCTTTGGCCATTCTTTGACTCAAACTCCCAAGACAAAGAAAGCCACAAGTCAAACAGTCCCTCAATCAAATTGAAGCGGCCTCATGGGCAGCATGATTAGTTGGGATTCTGGATGATACGTTATATTTATATATATATAGTCTAGGTGCTTTGCAGGTCAGGTGCCCGGCTCCAAAGCGGCGCCCACATCCACAGGACGCAGCACTGGCGGGGTGGTGGTGAAAGTCACCTGAGGTCACCCTGAGGTCTCCAATCTATGGACAGTGATGTTGTTTCAACAACAAAGGATAGCAATCGGTGAGGGATCTCGCTTCGACGTTCGCGGTCCCCCAAAACCTCGTGTCCCTCGAAGTCCCCAACGAAGGAATCGTGCTCACTCTGTTCATCAACACTTGAACCAAGTTCAAAAACATCCAGTTCGTGGGAATCACCTCAAAACATGTTCATCTGATTTATTGGCATCCATTGTTCGGAAGCCTTCAAAGCCACAACTTGGGCCCAACAAAAGAAAGTCAGCGCGGCGACAGGAATGCGATAGGGGCCCCAACGGTGCTTGTGGGCAGTGGCACCACCGGCACCGCAGCTGGCCTAGAATCTAGAAGAACCAAGCGGCAAGTCTTCGAGAGGGCAAAAGGCACAGAAAACGCGCAGCATAGCTTTCACTGTCGTCCTCACGTTTCAGGAGGCCCGGCTGTACAGTAGGGCTAGCCGGCTCTGGCATCGATGCGACCTTGGCAGCTTCACGATCTCAAAAGGGACCGGAGAAGCTTGTGTCTGGGCGTCAAATTTGGATTGCTGGGAGTCATTCTTGTTGGTACGGAGTGGCGACACAAAATTGGACGCCAAGATCTTCCTCTTAAGCCCTTAAACTGCAAACTTGAAATGCAAAGCCAGGCAATTGTTTTGTGCAGCTGTGGCTGCGTCTCAATTTGATTCATTCATGCCCAACATCGTGCTCTCCCGTGCCTTCTCAATGACAACACAACCCCGGCAAAAAACGCTGCATGTATTTTCCTTAATTGTTCAACAACTTCAAACTGTTTGAGCTGGCACAATGCTTGCCTTGGTTCTTTGGGCTGGAGGGCACACGGGGTCCATACAACGCGTGCCTCACTGAATAAAAGTCACACCTGCAACTCATGTAGCTGCCGATTCACCACAAAAATTGTCTGCTTGGAAAGGGGGGCGTTCGGGACGGCAAGTGGACATATTTGTGCAATGTTCAAACCAATCCCCCAAACAAATCCAAACAAAATAATTAAGGCACCGGGCCTTGGTGTGCTGAGGCACCACGGGCACTGCTTCTACGGCGGGCCTGCGTTGAGGCCAGCAGGGGCAAAAGGTGAACGCTAGTTAAGAGACAGCAGCCCCTTTTCCCACTATTGGGAGGATGTCTGCACCCAAAATTCAGCGAACCACACTTCCCAGGCCTGTAAGGCCAAGACACTCAAACGTCATTTACTTAGCAAGTGTTAGGAAGGCCAAACTCAGGAAGATAGCTGCATCACCCGTTGATGCTCCCGGTGCACCAAACGCGACTTGTTTCTACTCTTGCAACCCTGGTGTGGGGAGAACAGCGACAACCAGCACAGCCCAACCAGCAGTGCACGAGGCGTTTAACTCATTGAGAAACTAAACCACCTTCAATTCTCCTTTAAAGGTCGCAACGAACACACAGCCCCCTTTCTACAAGGGCCAAAAAAAGAACACAGTCAAGCAAACCTGTGGCGGAGACCACACAACGGCCGAAAAAAAGACGTTGCCCAACGTATTTCGTGAGCAGCCCACTTGACTGACCTCAAGTAACCCATGAACACGGTGACGACCGGTCGACCAACTCAAAACAAGAACATGTCATTGCAAGCAAGCCCCCGTTTGTTGCACGCTCGCGTCCACGTCCCGTGATTTGGAAATGGTTAGGAAGACAGAAGCACTGTAACTTACCCGAACTCAAGAAGAGACTAAGAGAACCGCTAGCTAGCTAAAGCTCCCTGCGCACCAAGTTCTATTCTCACAACCCTGGTGTGGGGAGAACAGCGACCTGAACCAGCAAAGCTTAACCAGCGGCGCAAAAGGTGTGTTTTCATAAAATCAGCACCCGTCAAATTCTTTCACATTCATGGGTCTTTAACTCGCAAAGTGTCCACTTTGCGTACCTTGGCTTTGGGCAAAGTGGTCTTTTGCTAGCTCTGCATGCAGTTCGGTGCATGTCGTGACCAACTTTTTCCGCTTGCATGCGTCAAACCTGGTTGCGCCGCCCTCCAACCTTCTGAGTTTATCCTGCAGGTCACATGTGTCTATTCAAGAAATAGAAGAAATAGAATAGATGCACCCGCTTTTAGTTTTGAGGCTATAGCTCCAATATGCCCAAACGGCGCAAGGGTTTTCCCAGCTCAAGTTCCAGACTGCTTTATGACATGGAAACGTCGCTGACAACGCAGCACGTGAGCTGCCGTCATTTCCACCAAAGGCGCCGGAGTTCTCCAGCTAAGGGCTCCTTTGCGGTAACATGGGTCACGCGGTCACGCAAACACAATCAACTCACTCCTCTCTACATACGACAGATTTACGGAAGCTGGGTACCTCATGAGGGAACGCAGGATCGCTCACAGCCAGTCCTGTCGCCCCAATCATGACTGCTGGCAGCATGAGAGTTTTCCCCGTTGGGGGCGCCCGCATTGCTAAGTCTGCAGCGAGCCGGCTCACTGTCATGTCTCACAAGCACGAACTGCCCCTGCTTTCTCCATAAAGGCCAGGGGTCGCAGCAGGAACTGTCCGGGCATAGGGTTCCGGTCGCCCCCCTCACAAATAGTCCAACTAAATGCTAAGCCACGCGCGGCCCACTGCTAAGCAAAATGCACGAGTCTCGTGGAGCCGAGCCCAAGGCATCCATCAAAAAATTGCCTCCCGATTGCGGCCACATGCCTAATCTCTCCACCTGAGCCCATTGGCGCACGCGGCGCGATTTCCATCAGCGGATGTGTTTGGAAGCCCCTAGCTGCGGCCCAGGCCCAAAAAAGTACCCGACAAGCGCTGTAAATCTTCCAAGCAGTTGGAAGAGCCGAAATCCCGCTGCAAGCAGTGCGGCAAGCTGCTCCACAAAGAGGTAGCCATAGCCAAGAAGCAAAATCAATAGAACACAGTCAAGCAAAACCCACGGCGAAAATCACACAACCGCCAGCAGAAGCATTGCCGGACTTCGCAAGCAACCCACTTGACTGACCCCGACTCAAGTAACCAATGAAAACGCTCACCCACATGTCCCCGGGGCTTGATCCCGTCAGGTCACTAGGTTACCTCATATGACTCATGTGTCATTGGCCTGGCTCAGAAGGCAAGGCACAGAAAACGCGCAGCATAGCAATTGTATAACTATATATATATATAAATTATAAGTATCAAGTATCATTAAGTATCATCAGCATTGCAAAGCCCAAGACCTATCGTCCAGTCCCCTCTAAGTTCTTGATCTTTCGATGCTTTCACTGTCGTCCTCACGTTTCAGGAGGCCCGGCTGTACAGTAGGGCTAGCCGGCTCTGGCATCGATGCGACCTTGGCAGCTTCACGATCTCAAAAGGGACCGGAAAGGCTTGTGTCTGGGCGTCAAATGATTCTGGATGCTAGGTTGGATTGCTGGGAGTCATTTCTTGTTGGTACAGAGTGGCGACACAAAATTGGATGCCAAGATCTTCCTCTTAAGCCCTTAAACTGCAAACTTGAAATGCAAAGCCAGGCAATTGTTTGACTGTTTGTGAGGCTGCGGCGGTGCCTCAAATTGAATCATCAATCCCAGGCGTGTGTGTCGCTTGAATGAAGACACAGGAACAGATCACCGCAACTCTTCCCCTTGTGAACAGTTTAGTGGGGAGCTCGAAGCTTCAGGAAAGCCAAGGTTACCAGCAAAGTCCTATTTCTTTCAACGGGTAACCGGCACAATCTGCATAGGCCTAAGAAACCTTGCGAATTATCCCCGCAAGAAATTCCAAACAGTGTGAAAGACGAGAGCAGCAGTGTGGACACAGACTATATATACAGGTTTGCGCACTCCAGTGGCTGAAACGTGTGGAAAAGGTACGGGTGGGTGACCGACCTCCAGCAAGCTGGTAACCGACGCATTGCAACAGGTTGTCCGGACTCTTACACCAAGCGGGCTGAGAATCGCTGAGGGGTCTATATAAGAATATGAGAGATCCAGATGGAGGTCTAGAGGTCTAAAGATCCAGAGTTTGGAGGCCTAGTCTTCAGGTCCACACCATCAAATCCACAAAGGAGGTCTTGAGGTCCAAAAATCTAGACCTGGAGTCGGAGAGCACATATAGAGCGCACATATGGGACCACATACACAAGAGAGGGTCCAGAATCGCAGAGCCGGAGACGTAGAGACCTGACATCCAAGAAGTCTAGAGATCAGGGTTTCGCAGCTGCAGGTAGACGTCTAGAGATTGAGAGCTGTCGGGTGTAGGTCTTGAGATCCACAACAGATCTAAAGATCCAGAGTCAGGCGGTCTAAAGGCCGTCTACAGGTAGAGAGAGGGAGAGAGAGAGAGAGAGAGAGATGGGGCTTAAGTCTTAAGTGATTTCCTTCTTTTTGTGTGCTAAGGTTGGCTGCAAATTGTTTTAGCAAGATTGCTGCTTTCTAAAACTCCGGACAAACTTGTTCCTGGAGTCTTTGGCCTGAGTTGGTACATATGTTCAGCACATCACTATATGAATCAAACCTAAATCCCCGCATTGAGTCCAAAGCAGGTGTTTCGAAACGGACAGAAGTTTACTTTTTTCTTTCGCAAGCTCGTCCGTTTGGCGACATTGTCTTGCGAATCCCCACGAGTCGCAAGATGTGGATCCGACATCATGAAGAAGAACGCGACGGACAGTGTCAGGGAACTGCAATGAACCTTTACAGCTACATTACACACAAATTTACAGTTATAATAATGCTATATATATATATATATGTATATTGCACTGACAGCTTTCTTTTGCTTGCCAACCGTCCAATTTATTGCTCAGCAACATGCATGTGGAATTTATGATTGTCCATCGGATGAAAGGAACAATAACATTTTTCTTAGTTTGACCCCCTCAAGGACCTCCAAGTTGAAGGCAAGCATGCATCTATAGAATTCTGTGAGTCTAACCTATCGTCTGATCCTTAAATTGTAATGCCATGACTTAACGCGCTTTTCTGAAATTCTGGACCAACGATCACCTTTGATTTCCTGAAACCTGAATGAACGAGATTTACAAAAACAAATCTAAGATATATATTTAGTGTTTCTGAGGTGTTTAAAGAGAATTGACATTCCGGCCCTTTTTCTCTATTAAGAACCCCTAGTGTCGCCACACTGTTTGGTGTACAAAAGAAATCCAAAAGTAAAAAAACACACACTCGCGGCTTGTATAGCTGTAGCTACCACATTCAGCAAGAATCATCGGCTAGGAAAGAAGGGGTTCGAGTTGGCAAATGGGCAAATTCTTGCAATCTTCAGTTCATTCTGGGAGGTCACGTGAACACGCTCCAATCAGGATAGTTTCTGTAAGGCACCGGGCCGTGGTGTGCTGAGCCACCACGGGTACTGCTTCTGCGGCGGGCCTGTGCTCCACAGGCACTCCTGGCCTGCGCAAGCTGATATCTTCACGTCTGCTCCGGCTTGCTGCTTGCATTGCACAGACAATCCCATGGCAATCTAAGGACAGGATATATGGTATATATGACATGTATACAAGTGCCAATAACAATCATCTCAATCATCTCATACAAAGGCCTGTCGTCCGGTAGCCCTGTCAATTCTTGATCGTTCTCCGCTTTGGCTGTCATCCTCATGTTCCAGGAGGCCCGGCTCTACAGTAGGGCTAACCGACCGTGGCATTGTTGGGGCCTCAGTGGCTGCATGATCCAAAAATGGACTACAGTAATTCTTCTGGCTGAGGGCACCGGGCCGTATCGTGCTGCTGCACCACCGGCACTGCGGCTGTCCTGTGCCAGTCAGCGCACCACCAACTTCCAAAACCCTCTCCCTCTCCATCGCCCCTCTCGCCCGCGTGCGTGCGTGCGCTCTCTCTCTCTCTCTCTATCTATCTATCTATCTTTCTTTATTTATGTATTTATGTCTTTCTTTCTGTCTTCCTTTCTTTCTTTTTTTCTTCCTTTTTCTCTTGCTCTGTCTCTTTCCCTTTCTGCCCTTTCTCTTTCTCATTCTATTTTTTCTCATGCTCTTTCTCTGTCTCTTTCTCTGTCTCTTTCTCTGTCTCTCTCTCTCTCTCTCTTTCTCTCTCTCTCTCTCTCTCTCTTTCTCTTTCTCTCACTCTTTTTGTGCACGCGTCTTTTTCGTTCCGCAAGCAAGGTTTCCATCAGCCGGCATTGACGACAATCCAAGCGCGCTCCTCCACGCCAGCTGATGTATCTTGGAAGCTGAACCTGGTCTGCGACCTCTTCACAGAACCTTCAACATCACAGGGGGGAGGCTGCTAGCGCTGGCTCGTCTGGGCCCACAACATTTCACCCATCGAATGAAGCGTCGCCCTTGACGCACCCTTGAAGTGCATCCTCTTGAGCAGGCGGCCGGGATCAACACGAGTGGCTCCCGTCCAGGCTGCCTTGGTCTGGCTCATGTAGTCCTAATCCGGCGGCCATATGCCTCATTGCTAGCGCTCGCCATCTGCCTGCGCGGTCCACGATGAATTTTGAACCTCTTCCACTCCTCTTTTTACGCTCGCTTCCAATGCACTCGGTGCTGAGTTCTCCTCCAAGCCAAACGTCTTATTCCAAAAGGAGCCAGCTCACGAGACAAGGCAGCACATGCGTTGGCTGTGGGCAAAAAATGTTCTGGGGTCAGCCGTGGGCCAGCTAGTCCCAGGCCGTCCCGGAATCCGTTTCAGGCATGTTTTGCTGAGCATGGTGGTCGGTTTCCACTCACTTTTCTGCCTAGCAAGGACTGAAGCACACAGGGAGCACCGCCGTCTGCTGCCAAGTTTGAAACGCCTATGTGCCGCGTGAACAGTGCCACCGGGACCAATACATGTGCTGCCATGAGCAAACTCGTCAAGAACATGTTCAGCGCCAGCTTCAGCCTTTCCCTCTCCCTCTCCCTCTCCCTCTCGCGCGCGCGCTTTCTCTCTCTCTCTCTCTCTCTCGCACCACGGCTCCACATTGGATTTGATGTGCAATCTGCACGGTGCACTAGCATTTTGCCCAGAACGGAAAGTACCCACAGCTCGAAAGGGCTTGAAGCCTGGTGAAAGAAGCACACCCCAACCTTTCCTGGTCCACAGGAAACTGCGGCTGCGGGAGTCAACAATAGGTCGAGTCTAATTGAAAATCTTGATGGTTGTTCATTTGTGCGATCCTGGAATATGCCTTTGAGGTCATGTGTTTAGTTTGAACATTTGCTCGCAGGGTTGCCCGCATGGTAGCCGCACACAAGCCTTGGTGCTGAGGGCTGGTCAGCAAAGCCAGTCCTGTCCAGAAATGGCCAAAGATGGCCAAAGTGTCCCAGAGTGAGATTACTTACCAAGCTTGAACTGAGAAGTCTGAGTGCCTTGCCAACCTATGAAACTCCAAAAGCTTGCTTCGTTCTGAGGTATGCCATACAACATGGCATTACACTTGATTGGAACCGCCCTTACCATGGGAACCGCCCTTACCCTGACCTTCTCGCCAAAGTAGGAGGCCTTTTGAGTTTCACCATGTTGAAATACAGCCCCCATCGAGATGGCAAATGACAACTCGAATCTGGTTAGCCGTTCTTCTTTGCAGCTTGCACCGGTTGCTACCACACACGTGAGAAATCACATGATTCGGCCTGGCTGTGGCCAAAAGCACCACGAGCTGCACGAGCCTGGCAGCACAGTGGGGCACGGAAACGTCGAACCCCAGAACCCAGGTGGAAATTGCTTCTTCACACCTTGGTTGCCTGGCCCTTCCAAAACCCACAGTAGATATCTAAAATCCAAGAGGGTGAAGGAAAGATGGCAACTGGCCATGTTGGTGCTTACAGGCCCACACACACAACCAGAAGTGACCTCTGTATTGTACCGGGTAGCTGCCTAGACATGAGCAATGCGAGCAGCTGTGGATAAAACCATGTGTTCAGGTTTATCAGTTTAGCATCATTCAGTGCGCCGTTCACACCTCGGAGGTGAAAAACCTCTCACCTTAAACACTTCCCATCCGAAAGCTTGCCAATCTGCTCAACTCACTCACGCCCAACACCTGAAGGCTCGCTTGGCCATGGTGGACAAATATCAGCGATATATAGAGATAAAAAAAGTAGTGTAATTTGAACTTCGCCCAGGGAAGCTTTGCGCTGCATCTACTGGGGGTTCTATAGGTGCCCTTTGGCATCTCCATGCTGGTGCTGCTGGTGCACTGATCTGCTCTAGGAGGTCAACCCTGTGTCCTAAGGAGTTTTGAGCGCCGTTCTGCTGCTCGAGATAGTTGAGCAGCTGACCAGGCCACACAATTCTGATTTCGCTGTAGGTGAAAGGTGCTGAAGGGTTGGCAGCCCCCAGTGTGTTGGTCTGCTTCGAGGATGGCTGAAGTTCAGGAGAGGTACGGGAGCAGCGACACAGTTTGAGCAAAACACCCCCAAGAGGTAGAAGCCGCATGATTCGGCCCACAAGCATGCTGGGAGGCTCTGAAGTCCGAAGATACACAACATCCTAGATTCAGCATCAAAGCACGTCCCACAAGCTTGCAGTCATGTTGCGTGCAGTTCAATCTCGCCAGTATTTGATAAATCGCCTGGCTCCCCATCAGTCATCTGCCTATTACGTGTGACGTGCATATAGGAGGTGCAAGTCATGTGGCCGCTGGTCTACCCTCAAGCCTCAAGATTCATCATTCAGAAAGCATAAGTTTTTTGATGCCAGCATCCCTTCAAGCATCAACCCTCAGCGTTGCGTGCGCAACAGCAAGTAGCCACCAGGAACACCATAATACGAAGGCAATCTTCTGATCATTATCCTTCTCCCGTGTTGACAACAAAAATGCAACTGTGCCTGGCAGCTCCTTGCACCCAGCCGCAAACCAAAAAAACACCACTTCCCCCAGTGGTCTGGTCTGCCCCCCGCGGTGGAGAGCATGGCTGAATACAATTGAATACATCCTAAATATTCCACAGTGAATGAATTGCTCATCCATTCAAATCGGTCCTCTTTAGAACCTCTTTCCAATTGTTCACACCAAGGCGGTCACAGGAGGTGGCCGTTTGCAAGCTTTTGACAGGCTACAACACTTCCTCTCCACCAGCAGGATTAGCTGCCGTGCCCCATCACGTAGCTGTCTAAAGTGCCTTCTTCTTAAAGACCGCAAATATCACGTCCTCATCTATGTCCCTTGTCTGTCTATGCAACGATCGAAGCAACTGCCCCTAGTAAGGCATGCTGCATGCTTTTCCAAAAAGCAGCACACATTAGCTTCGACCAACCTTGAAAAATTGTCTCCAACAGATCCTCTGAAGGATTGGACGCCTTCAATACTTCAATCATTGAAAGGTGCGATTTTTCACATGAGACTGTATGAGCTCATTGTGACACCAACCTGCTACGAGTATAGGGGGTGGGTCTGGGGCAAAAGTACATCGAAGTCATGTGATGTCGTCTTGCTCTAAGATCGTGTCCATTCATAAACGGCACTTCTATCTGCAGCAGCCATAGACTCTGCACAAAACTTATCAGGCTCGATAGGCGACGGATGGATCAAGGAGAAACATGGAGAAACTATCCCTGACGTTTGGCCCTTTTTTGGCACCCTGGTCATAGTCATCCAACGACTTAGCCCCACCTAATAAGCAGTATATAATAGGTCTTAGTTCCTGGTTTCATCTACCTCATGACCAAAACACTTGACCAATTCTTCTTCACTCATGACACTCATGTTTTCTGCAAGGGCATCCGCCTCACGAGCCTCCATCCTCCCCCCAAGTGAAGCACCGGAGTTGTGAAACCAGCCACACGTTGGGGGGTGTTGCAAGAATCTGCTAGAACTCTAGGAGTGCGGGCCAGCGTTTCAAAAAAACGCCGTGCTTCAAGCTGCCCAATTAGAGGCCTCTCCCACTTGCTCACTCTCTGGGTTCAATCAGGTTTTGGGTGACCAACACCATCTACCTCAGAGGTCCACGAAGTTTTGCTTCCACAAAACTTGGACAACGAACTGGAACTGCAACAAAACTCGTGATGCTGTGTCCACCTGAGGCACGCACTCTTTTGAGGCCGATTCCAGGCCACAGTCATCATGCATTGCACAAGGCCCGTTTGATTCTCTTTCCTTGGCAAAAGCGATATACATTGGTGGCTGCAGCTAAAGATTGTCTTGCATCCCAATGGCTGGCATTGCTCCTCAAGCTGCTGAACCTCCTCATCATCGAGATGTGGAACCTGAAACTCCTGCCACATTCGAAACAGCACACCTCTGGCATCCAATCTTACTGACGCTTGACAATATGCAAATGGCTCCTGGAACGAAAGTCCAGTGAAAACTGAATTGCTTAATCAAAGGGTTGCTGTGGTAGAAGGAAACTTCGATCCCTTGACTTTCCCCAAGCCACAGCCTGTGGATTCGACAGTGATGCAGGCGTTCGATGCCAAAAAAACATTTTGGAACTTTGCATCTCACCGCTTGTCCAAAAGTTTCACAACTGTGGGAACTGATGTAGGGAAGGGGGATGCATTGCAAACTTTGCTGTCATGATTTACCAATGGAATCCAATGTATCGATTGACCAAAGTCCGTGCCGCCATCCTGGATGATGGCTCAAGTTTCGTTTCCGCCTCCGCGGTGCAAAAGGCTAATGCTGCTTGGTAGGTAGGGAAGCTTGTCAGCTGGTATCCGGAGCCCTGGTTGATGCCTCGCTGCCCACTTCCGCCTACCGGCAGATGGCCGATGCCCGGGAGGGCGGCAGCGGCAGCTGGACTTGGCAACCGTGGAGATCATTCATGGAGGGCATGGCGACGAGTATGGTCCGTCAATGGGTCGCGCGTCGTGACGCTGACGTGACGCTGACGCGACGCGACGACGCACCTATACCCGGCGTCCCGGAGGCGGACTGTTATGATGGCGACAGGACGATGGCGAATGGTGGTCTGGCTCGGGCTCAAGCTCAGCTGCAGCTGCAGCCGAAGCCTCCACGGCTGATGGGGTCACTTCCTCACCATCGGAGGTCTCAGGAGCAGCGACGGCCGCCGCCACAGCAGATGGCTCATGGCAATCCACGGATTGGTGGAATCAGTCGCGTGGTGGCCAGCACTCCTACTTGTGGCCCAGAGAAGGGTGGCGAAAGCTAAGGAAAGGAACAACGCTGGGAGGAGAGTGCCAACAGCGCCCCCCCAATACAACCCCAACACAGGCAACACATGGCAACACACAACCACCCCAGCAACAGCAGCAGCCACAACAACAATAACCGTAACCAATCGTAACCAGCAGCGGCAGCGGCAGCGGCAGCGGAAGCAAGCAGCAACTACCAAGGCAGCAGCAGCAGCAGCGGCGGCGGCGGCGGCGGCAGCAGCTACCAAGCAGCACCACCAGCTACCAAGCAGCAGCACCAGCAGCAGCAGCAGCAGCCAAGCAGCGCAGCAGCAGCTACCAAGCAGCAGCAGCAGCAGCAGCAGCAGCCAGCAGCCAGCAGCCAGCAGCCAGCAGCCAGCAGCCAGCAGCCAGCAGCCAGCAGCAGCAACCAGCAGGTACTAGCAGCAAACAGCAGCAAGCAGCAGCAAGCAGCAGCAAACAGCAGCAAGCAGCAAACAGTAAGCAGCAGCGAGAAGCAGCAAGCAAACAGCAGCAAGCAAGCAAGCAAGCAAGCAAGCAAGCAAGCAAGCAAGCAAGC